CCGGTGTCTGAGAAGGCCGCAGAGTTGAACTCTGCAACGAAGGGCCCTCTGTACGGCCGGACCTGCAGTTCAGGACGTGCGCAGATCATTTCAGCCACAGGACCCTAGGGGAGTCTATGTTGCCGCCAGCATAGATTTTAAAGCCGCACATAAACGAGTTAAAGTCAATCCAGCCGAACAGGGATTGTTGCTCTTTGCCTTTCAAGGGGTCCTTTGGCGCTACGTCGTCTGCCACTTCGGAGCCAAGTTCTCAGCCTACTGGTGGCAGCGAGTAGGAGGCGTCATCACACGGTTGGCACATCAGATTCTAGCATCCCTGCCTCACAGAGCCTGGCTCTATGTGGACCTGCTGGCCGCCTTGCTCCGTGCCCCAGCCCATGAAGCCCTATTCCTGCTCATAGCCCTGCTCTCATGCCTCGGAGCGCCCATAAGTTGGAAAAAGGCCTACATAGGAGACGACCTCATAAGGTGCGGCTGGCGCTTCAATTTCGCCTATGAGACCGTAGAGTTGTGCGAGTCCAAACGAGCCAAGCTGGTTCTACAGATCCAGCAACTGCTCAGCAAGCCGAAGACGCCCAGGAAGGACCTGGAAGCATGCATATGCCTATTAATGTGGGCCACTAACATCAGTCAGGTTCTACGAGCCTATGTCGCTCCCCTCTACAGCCTCCTGCATAGCCCGCCAGGCTCCAATTATTCCATAGCACCGAGGATGTGGCCGGCCTTCCTTCACTGCCTCGATTCGCGAGCCGTCGTGGTCAGAGAACTGATCGGGGTCAACCTGCCTATGCAGTCGCGTATCATAGAAGTGGGAAACAAGCAGATACACTGCAAAGCAGATGAATCGCGCCGACTTGTCGGTAGCACTTTCTAAGTATAAGAGGCTGCAGGTGCGATCTTTCGCGCCGGGGGTTTGTCCTACCATCACTCCTGTGATTTTTACTTTTTCGAGTGAGCACCTCCCTTTTTAAGTTGGTGGATCCTCGCATGGTCTCACTTCTCACTCATGTAACACGGCTTCGAGACGTGATTTTTAAATTGATGTTCGCTACTCACGTCTTTTCATTCGTGAACGAACTTTTGTTGCTCGGGAATCTTTTCAATTTTGGGAGATCTTTCTCCTGAAACAACATGCTCCCGCGCCGCACTCCTCGCTTCAGGCTCGAGTGCCATCGTTCGTAGCGAACTTTTTTTTGGGCCTCTCTAGTCTCTTCGGACTTCCTACAAGGCCCAAGGTGCTAATCCCAAGGCTTTAGCATCCGTGCACGCCACCTCCCTTGTGGACGTGGTAGATGGAACGTCGTAGCACTCGCCTCAGGCGGGTCGCTCCTGCGCCCCGGTGGCGCTTGATCCTTCTCTGGTTGCAAGAACAGGCTTTAATCCGAGGCTGGCTTTCGGAGATTCTGCTCAGGCCGGGGGGGGGAGGTCCGCCCCTCACTCGCCCAAGTTTTGGGGGCAGCTCAGCCATCCAGCTTGCTGCTGCTGTGTCTGCCTCAGTCCGACTGGACTGCCCTTCGGGTCGCAAATCGTGAGCTGCTGCACATTTTTCGTAATATTATCGCCTTCGTTACTGCCGCGGCCGTTCGCCTGCAGCGCGCTTACCTTGCCTGACATGACACCAGCCGAACGGGCTGAGCAGGTTTTGCGTGACAGCGATCTTACAGACTCGGGGGGGAGGGATGATCGCGGTCTGTTTCCTTTCCCTCGGGACAATGCCGACATTGAAGTGGGTCAGGCTTTTAGCCTTCTTGATGAGCCTGTGTCTGGCCCCGCAGAGGAGATCCCTGATGAAGCTTTCCTTGCTTTCCTTTCAGACGGTGAGGATGAAAGAGGCAGGGACCCCGAACCTGAAGAAGGGCGTGATGCTGATCCAAGCCCTGATCTTTCGGAAAGGGAATGGTACTCTCGTGCAGGGGACTTTGAGGTGCGGGCATTACTAGTGAGCACTGAAGCTCCCGGGCCCCTGAGTGTGCCAAGCTCCTCTGAGCTTTCACAGGCCGCCTTCAGCTTGCCTGCGCCTGACGTAGCCGAGGATCAGCTCCGACAGCCTGTCTTGTGCATAAAAGGATGAGGCTTGAGGCACCCCCGTTGCCCTGGGAGTCCGGCCCATTCTCAGCAATCTTCGGCGGCCCTACTTGGCTTGACGATTTGCATAAGAGAGTTAATGCCACCGTCGTGCCGGGGGTTGGTAGCTCTGACATGAACCGGTGATGCCCAAGCCCGCCGTGCCACAGCCTCAGATTATCACGTCATCCCTTGCAGCGCGTATGGCCCGTTTCCGGCCCGAACCGTCTGACGACGACGTTCGGGACTTGGCGCTCAAAAGGCTGAAAGCTCCTCACTGGGGACCCCCTTGCAAGCGAACTTGGGAAGTCCCTTCTGGATAAAATGGGTGGCCTGACAACCGATGAGGTTGTAGCGCAGTCTTTCTCTGATGCCTTCAGGGCGAAAGCTGCCTCCACGCTCTGTGCTCACTCGTGTGCACTTGCTCGCTTCAGTTTTTGGTGTGCCAGACAGGGCGTTGAACCTCTCCGTGCGATAGAAGAAGAGTTGTACGCATACCTGTGTGAAATGCGATCTTCAAAGAGGGGGGCGACGTCGGGAGATAAGTTCCTCCGCTCCCTCTCGTTTCTGGAGCATGTGGCAGGCCTACTGTTCATGAGAATGGACGAGGTTGTATCATCAAGAGTACGGGGAGTGGCGCGCGATATGGCAATGACCAAAGCACCGTTGAAGCAACGTCCTTCCCTGACTGTCACCCAGGTTCGCCTCGTAGAGGAGCTTATGTGTGAAGATGTGCAGGACGCTGATGCCTGTGTCTTAGGCCAGCTACTAATGTGTATACACTCAGCCGGCCGGTGGCGAGACATTCAAGGTCTGCACGACGAGGTATCGGTGGGACCCTCCACGTCTCTTCTGATTGCCAGCGGGCTCAAGAGCAAAACCACGCAGACTCCTGAGGCCCAAAGGCGATTCCTCCCCTACGTTGCAGTTGCAACTGGCGTGTCGGGGAGGAACTGGGGCAAAAGGTGGCTTGAAGCCCGCTCCCGTGAGGGCCTTTCATGGGGCGGTGATTTCTGCTTGCCGTCCTTCTCTCTCCGTCTGGAGCTCCGTTCGCATGGGTTCAGGAGAGGCCACCGCTTATCTCCGCGACTTCCTTACGGCCATAGGCCTCCCGTGTGATCAAGCTGGGACCCACAGCCTGAAGACTACTCTGCTCACGTTGGCCAGCCGCTCCCATGGCGGTGACTTTCACCGAGAACGAGCGATTGCACTTAGGTCACCATGCAGCCCCCGACACTAAGTCTATGCCAGTGCAAAACAGGGAGGCGTACTCCCGGCTTCATGCCAAGGTGGTCGCCATGTTCCGCACGATAGCCGCTGGCAGTTTTGACCCAGACCTGCCGCCAGCTGAGCGAGTAGAGCACATGGCTAGCACCCTCCTAAGGGATGATCCTAGGCCCCCCGTGCAAAGTATGGTGAGCCACCCAGATGGCGATGCGAGTGGGAATATCTCACGTCCTGAAGGACGAGCGTAGACTCTGGTGCAACCGACCTGTCAATGCCAACTACGTTCTGTTCTCGGAGGCGGGAGCACTGCCGAGCACCCGACACCATGTCATCAATGCTCGCGAGCCCTAGGGCTCTTCGGTAGCTAGCCAGGACTCCACAGTTTTGCCACTTGCTGTGAAAGAGCTTTGCTTGTCGCTGCGCGGAAGTTGTGAGATTTTTCGCATGAGCAGGTGCATCCACAGTCAAGCACGGGTCTTGTCCCATCTCTGGATAACCCAGTTGTGCTTCATCATGTCAGGGCCGGGTTGCATGCGTTGGTGAACAATTCGCCGCATGGCTCCCGTGGGCTCAAGTGACATACGAGTGGTTTGCATGCCAATCTTTCTGCGATCGTGTTATGAGGGTCCACCGAGGTCTCTTCTGCTGAGTTTTCGCTAGTTGAGCAGGGCCTTTCAGTGAGAGAGAATCCTCTGTCATGACAGGAATTTCCATAGATCGGTGTTGCACGTAACTGCTAGCCATGGCATCAGGTCTTGACTCAAGTGCATATTTCACAGAGCGCCTGGCCAAGGTCGGATTGTCAACCGAGCTCCAAGAGGCTCTGCTGGGGTCAGGATACCAGACTTTTGGCTCCCTTGCTTTTGCAGTCTCCTCTACACCTGGGAGTGTCAGTGATGAAGCTGTAATCCGATGGGTCAGGGGTCTCATGGACCCTCTGCCGAGCGATCACCAGATGTCGGTGATCAGGAGGCTTCTCTTCGAGGCTCAATTGATGTCAATTGCTGAACTGCGTGACCGTGTCAATGCCGCTCCTGGCGATGCACCCACGAAGAAGCTGCCGACGGTGGAGCGCGCCGAGAGGCTCAAGGCGCTGAGACGCAAGCTCCCGGGGCTGATCTTGACTCCCGAGACAATCCCAGCAAACCGGTTGGTTGACAACTACGTGGATCAATTGGAGACGGGTGTCCTCTCCTATGTCAGGGCAGATCACTGCATAAGCCGAGCCCAGGAGATGGATTCAGTGAAGCGTGAGCCGTCCTTGCACATACAAGGTAACGAGGTGAAACTAGCTACCAAGAGTGCAGAGCTTCGGTGCACAGTGAGCACGGACCTCCAGCTCCGGCAGGCCTGGAATCGCAGATCGCTTGCAATGGAGCTGGCTGACCTGGGTCCAAAGCCTGTTTGCCCGCATGCAGCGTGATCCACAGGCAAACCACCAAGCCGTCGGTTTGAATCAGGTCCTCGCTGCTGGGGAAAGACTCAGAATGCCGGCGCGGACAACAAAGAGCCTCGCTTCTCCCTGCCAGAGGGGTGCGTGGCCAAAAACGAGGATGGGAAGCCGTGGTGTTTTGCCTTTAACCACGGCCGCTGTCGATTCAAGAACGTTAAGAAAGGCAGATGCCCGAGGGGCTACCGCGGATGTTACTTCAAAGGATGTGGACGTCCCACTCCTTTCGTGTAATGCACTCACGCGGATGCTTCGTGATCTTCGGGGGCTCCCGATGCTAAGGCTACGAACCGTGTGGTGTCGGGAGCCGAGCCTCCCTCCATGCTGCAGTTTTCGGGCGACCCCGCCCCCAATTCGCTTACCGATGCAGAGAGTTTTGCTCGTGAGCTTCTAGCTCAGCCTAAGATTTCGGCCGAAGCCGTTGTGAAGCTGGCTGAAATGCTGCCCCACGATTCTTCTCAGCGTCCCTCAAGCGGTGAAGGTGCTTTCCTTTTCAGCAGTGGTGCATATGTTTTGGGTGGCATCAACGGCCTTTTTGGTAACGCCACCCGTTTCCTCAGGCCACCCAGGTCTTGACTAGGTTTGCCAAGCAATCCTTGAAATCCGATTTTTCGTTCAGCTCCTGTGTACTGATGCGCGACAACGAAACCAAGCTTCACCGTGATGCCAACAACGTGGGCTGTCTGCCCTCATTCGCTGCTCTCCTTTTCAGCGTGGCGAGCTCTGGCTGGAATCACCTTTTGGAAGTGTACCCTCGGGCGGGCCAGGCCCGCAGCGCTACGGCGAGTTGCATGCCACTCAGGACCACGTCGTCTTCGACCCGACCGCCTACCACTGCACCCGCCCCGGCACCAACGGCCCCAGGGTCGTGCTCGCTGCGTACACCGTACGAGATTGTGGTGACAGGGCGAAGTTGTTGTCTCTGGGTTTCCCCCTCGAGCCATCCGCCGCCGCATCAGCGTCTTCCCATGCGGTTTTGGATAAGTCTAGTTCCTTGACCTCTTTCGGGTCCCCTAAGGCAACCCCTACACCCGAGCCACCGCTTGTTTTGGAGATCTTTGCAGGGGCTGCACAGTTGACTCGTTGCCTCCTGGACGATGGTTTTGCGGCCCTTGCGTTCGACCATTTTGTCGCTCGACCGTGTGCGCCCGTATGCAAGTTGGATCTCCTGTCCCAGTCAGGTGCCAGTGTGTTTTGGGATATCCTTGCCAAGACGAAACCGTTCGCTGTGCATCTCGCACCCCCACGGCCTGCGTCCCTTTCTGCAGATAAAAGCATCTCGCCGATGCACCAGTTCTGTTTTGACGTCATGACATGGTGTCTTCAGAAAGATGTCTTGATTTGCTGCGAAAACCCTGATCGCAGCAGCCTCTGGCCCGCCCTGACCACCCTGTCCAGCCGGTGCCTCAGCTCTCGTGACAAGGCTGCCTGGAAAAGCTTGCAGAATCTTCAGCTGCACATGTGTATGCATGGTGGCAACAAGCGCCACTTAGTCCGCCTGCTCTGCAGCCCCGGCCTTTTCTCGTCTTTGGCAGGCCTGTGTGACAAACGGCACTCCCATGCCAGTAATCCGGGGTCCCTAGGTAGTCCTTCCACGACCCCGGCTTTCGGTTCCTACCCCAGGCTTTTCTGCCAGCGTTACAGCCAGTGCCTTCGTTCTTCTGCTTCGCGGCTCGGCCTCCCCCTTGGCCAACCACCTCGCCTCAAAGAAGCCAGCACTGCCGTCCTGGGCCGCCAATCGAAGCGTCACGCTGCTCTTGTGCCGGAGTTCAAAACTTACAGACAGGTGCCCTCTAGCCGCGTGCGAGCGCCTCCTCAGTGCCAGGCCCCCCGGGGGAATCGAATGCGGAGGCAGCCAATCCCACATGGAAGATAGGGGTATTACACACCCTGAAGGAGTTTGTAGACCGTGCTCTTGCCACAAAACATCCGATTGACTCGGCAAACCCCTTGTCTCCACATTTTTGGACGCCCTTGATACGGTAATGCCCCACTCGCCTTCCCACCTTGAGCTCAAGAGGAAGCTTGCCATTGCCAAAGCCGAGATTCTTATGAAGCAGCTGGCCCCGAAAGAGAAGCTGAGGCATGACAAGCTCCCTGAACACATGAATGGGGTTCTGGCAAGCAAAAATATCTCTTTGTTTGAGGCACTGCTTCGCAAGTACGACTTTTGGGATATGGGAGTTGTTAGCATCCTTGAAGAGGGGGTCAACCTTATAGGTTTCCAGGAAACCCCAGATTGTTACCCACGCAAAGTGGTGCCGGCCACAATCTCCCCGGAGGAGTTCCGTAGCTCTGCTGTGTGGCGGAGGAAATGCTTGACCGGCTCCGCTGTTCGCGAGACCGATGCTGCACAGCTGGCCCACTTGCAAAAGGCGTGCGCTAAAGAAATGGAGCTGGGCTTCATGTTAGGCCCGTACTCCGAAGATCAGGTAACCCGGCACTTTGGACACTCGAGTTGGTCATGCATACGCCGCTTTGTACTTGAGCAGAAGCGCGGCAAGCTTAGACCCATCGACGATGCCAAGGCTGCCAAGGAGGGTCTGATCAACAAAGCTTCTCGGCCCGAGAC